TAATTATTTTATAACATATTATTATTAGTATTACTATTATTATTATTGTTCGAATGAAGCATTATCTTTCGTTGTAGCGTTGTTATTGATGCAAAATTTAATTAATGAATGTAATTTTCTTATTGTACTTTTCACAATCAATTTTATAATATTTTGTTTGATAATGAAATGCTTTTTCGTGTGTTGAAAAATATGTTCCATACGGCAGTTCCAAGAGTATAATTAAAAGAAGAGTATATTAAACAAAGATGACTTTTGCTGCAAGTAAAGACTACTACTAAGATAAAAGATTATAGAACTATGTTATTTAAATATTCTATTGTTAGCGCTCAAAATGGAAAGAAAATGCTTGTTATCATTTATATATATATACATATACATATGTGTATATATATATATGAAAGGAATTTTACAATATATGTCTTGTTGTTTAAAACTCAATTTTCCATGCTGAAATTCAATCGGACGAAGAACGAGTTTGTATAATTACTAATCTTAAACATTCGAAAGTTACTCGACGATTAATTAAAATATTAATTATATAACCACTAGATCAGAATGGAAATTTTCTGCAATGCATTTTGCTTTTGTAACAAAAGTGATTAGTTAATAATGGAAACCAAAACAAAGAAGAGTTTTGTGTAGTGGTTTTCTTTCTATATGAACGTAAGAAAAATCAAACAAATAAATGAAGAAAGAATTTATTTCTTATTGTAATGAGTAACTGGTAAATTAATTGAAACATTCCTTTCATTTTTTATAATGATATAGTGATATTTAGTAATGCTAATGATTTATTGATACTTATCTCAAATTGTATCTGAAATGTTACTATGTATGAAAAGAAACACGTTAATAGGATTTTTATAAATTTTAACTTATGTTTCGTAGTTTGATTGTTATCAATTATTTGATATATACTGTATAAATAAATTTTAATAATAGCATTTTAAATCCTACGTTGTCAAATTATGTTACTGTTTGAGTAATGTCCGAATTTCTGGAGCCGTAAAAATAAAGGCCCTATAATCAGATGCTTATTTATCTTTCTTTAAAAAATATTACTAACATTAGAAAAACAAAGAACGTTAGAAACTTTAGGTAAATAATATAATCATTTTTATTTTCAAATTTAGGTATCATTATTTTATTTAAATCTGTATAAAATTGTTGAAAGTGACAGTTTTGTCAAAAATACTTTTTTTTTTACTTCCTTTCTAGTGCATTCAAAGAAGTTATGTCGGTTTAATATTGCATTTTATTCGTTAAGGGCTAATAAGTATAATATAGGTTCAAATATGATCGATACTGAAGATATTCCCCATATAAAATCATAATGGGAGAACGATTTAATTGATACTTCTTTATGGAATACAACATTATTAAGTTTACTTTTCAGAAGATCAACGTCCTAAAAAAGAATAAAGTTAATTTTATTAATCTTCTATTATTTTGCTCTAAATTTTAAATCTTTATTTTATATTACTATTTGCTACAAAATGTATAATTACTGGTTTTGTTGAAAGTAAATCATTATCACTGCTGAATAAGGCAACCGGTGCAGTTACTTCGTTCAATTTGTACTTTGGTGGTTCTAGAGAGTTATAAATTTGATAATTTTTTTCTTTATTATGGTAATCAAATTGTCTAAAACTTTCTGAAATTATTGAACAAATATTGTTATTATTATTTTTCGTAATATATTATTTAATATATACGTGCGTGAGTATTTACGTGGATGTATGTATCCTTGACCAAAATGAACCATCTGTTTCCAAGAAGCTCCAGCTGGCACATAATTTATAATCGTTGTTAAATTCACCTAAATAACCAAATACAAATTTGAAAAATGTTCGTTAACAGTTCTCCATTTTGTGCAATAAAAAAGTTTAATGAATTTAATTAATACAAATTTAAAAATCTTCGACAGAGAAAATTTGAGAATTACTACATTTAAATTTTGCTATCATCTGTATATAAAATTTACCATTCTAGCATACTTCCAAATCTAACGTGCATCTTATTGGAAATATATTTATTTCAAACTGTTTATGTTCGCATCGCTAATTTTTCTGGATTTACCATTTGAATAAGGACAAGGATAAAATGATATTAAATTTTTACCGCACTCAAGTTTGTCTGGCTGAAACCAGTGACGAGGAACAGAATATTATTGCAAAAGAGCATTGTATCTTGACAAAGTACACTGGAAACAAACTTTCCCCAAGCAGAACGTGAACGTAATTCAGGATAACCGAACGTTTCACCCATCCACTACAATATGAATAAAACATACATCTTTCCTTTTTATTTCATCGTAACTTGATTTAATTTTTATTTTTAGATTCCTCAATTAACGATTGAATAAATTTTGAAGCAATAAATAAAGAAAGGATTTCAGTCGTGAAAGGATTGACTATATTATTTGTGCGATCATGTTAAAAATTTTCAGACAACTTACCACACCCAAGTATGTTAATTTAGCGAGTTTTGTAATCGGGCCGCGTATGCTGCCAGTAAAAGCTACAGGAGCAAGGCCGATCATCAACTTAATTTTTTCATTATAGTCCGGTCTTCGAGACATTGCTACCCAAAATTGTGTGGTCCCTTGAGAATGACCAATATAAAAGAGTTGCTCGCAATTTGTTTGTTGCAGTACATAGTCAATTGTTGCGGGAACATCATAAATACCGAGTTCGTGATAACTGAAAGGAAAAAGTGTTGGATTTATTTCGGATTCATAAGTATACATACATTGAATTCGATTTTGTCATTTAACATACCTAAAATTCCAGAAATGTCGGCTCTGTGGCAACATTAAGATATGATTTCTTGAATAAGTGTTTCCTCTATTGTTTCCAAGCCATACGTCGTATCCTGCATCTGCTAGCATATATGCTAAAAAACGGGAAACTAAATTTCAAATAACAGAGATTCGTTTTTAAGATTGAAGATTATATAAAAATCATTGCTGGTTAAAAATCTTTTCACATAGCATATACGTAAACTTTGTTACTTCAAGCATGTGATTTATTCCTTGCGTTGTAACGATTGCACTGTCGTTACATGCGTGTTACATCAGTAAGTCCGACCAAAAAATTTGAGTTTAGACGTAACTTTCACGATAATGGCTTTGATGCAATTGAAAATTACACAATAATCTTCAGAAGAGTGACGTGCATAAATGCATAAACATCAAAGGTGCAAATGCAAGTAGAAATCATGTTATAATAAATTTGAATTTTTAATATTAATTTAAAAGAATATATAGTCATTTAATCTTGTAAAAATTCCTGGTTACCCAATGCTCTGTTTGGTCCCATAAACACCCAATCTGCAGAACTGCCTGCCAATCCATGCTGCATTAGAATCGGTTGTTTTCCATTTGTAAAATTCCTTTCACAATCAAGCCGTCCACATGGAAGTCTGTGAATTTCCAATATGTAGCCATCTTCTGTTATAACATTATGAACCTCCACCTGATAGCCGTGGCTCCTTATCAATTCTGGCTAAAAAAATGAAACGAAAGAATTACAACAGACATTACAGTAGCACATGATTTTTATTAATTTAATTAATTTGTAGATTATAATTTACTCTGAAATTCTTGTAAAATTTTAACTCGACAATTCGTTTGTATTCAAATTGAAAAAAAAAGGGACTCACCGGATCGTACTCAAATATAAATCTAAATGTAAGTAAATTTTCAAATTTAACTACACTAAGAAAGAACATCCGCGAAATTGAACGATCTACAAATGACATTTTCTAATAAAAGGATATGATAGACTTACGGTTTTAAGCACAAAATTTCGTTTACCATCGGACCTACGAATGTTAAGCGCCAGGAGAGAATTTAAAATGAGTAGTTGCAGCAACAGAGCATAGAACAGCGACATAATGTTGCGTCTAATGTACTTGTAAATCATCGAGATCGAGAGCGAGGGTATTTTATATAGGAAACGACAGTTTCGCGATTCCTGATAAAACTGCATAAACGGAAAGTACGATAGAAGAAAACATGAAGACTTTGCCCACCACACGCTCACGCACCTGTTGAAAATTTCAATGCGGAAGGATGAGCCTCGCAGTTGCTATTTACACTTTTGTAGTGGTCCCATTCTTCCTTCAATGATACTATTTAACTTCGCATTTGTTCTATAAAAAGATATGTTATATCAATTAATATATTCGTCGTGTAGTTATCATAATAATTTCATTTTATAAAAACAATAATTTAAAGCAATTTTCTACAAAATAAAAATTATCATGTTTGTTTCAATTTTTCATGTCGAAGAAACACTGCTATGTTTTCTTTGATTTAATTTTATGTTCATAACTTTTTAATATAATACAATGATCTAAGAGAAAACTACAAATGTAACTACTCACGTGAAATTTGAAAAGAAGTTGGTTTAGGATAATTCGTTTTTTACATTTGAAAATATTAAAGAAACATAACATCTAGAAATTTTGATTTGATTCGTAATTTACTGGAATATTTATCGAATATAGCTTTAATTACAAATTAAACAACAACATAATCTAAAAGAAATAAAAATTAAATAATAATTTTAAATATTACAAACAGCATCAATTCTTCCTTACCTTTGTAATTGAAATTAAGTTTGTAAAAAAATATTGTCAGATGAAATATTTATTCACTCTAATGTTATATTCATTATTATTTTTATCTTTCATGTTTTACATGTGATTTAAATCCTTAAATAACAAATCGTCAGAGATTAAATGGTGGAATATTTTCAAATATACTACAGGTTTGAAAGTGGTTTCAAATTGGAACTTGAATATTTCAATATAATGTAAAAAAATAAAATCAACGTTGAATTATTAAAAATCATTGTATTCATTGCCAAAATATTATATTTATTTAGTTACTTGCCTGTTGTGTAAGAGTTTTAACATTTCAAAGATTATGGTTTAACCTTGTAATTGTCATTATCTATAACCGTAATGCGCAACAGCTTGTTGCACGTAAAACAAAGTCTATTACAACATTTTTCTGCGTCACATCACACTTTTGTTTATAATAATAAAAAATTAACTTATAATTAAATAGATAAAAAATCAAGTTAATCTCTAGTAATCCATCTCGTTACTGTATTAAATGTTAGTTCTAATGAAAATATAACTTTCATTGTTATAAAATATATATATATGTATGATATAGTTCGTAAATGTTAGTTCTAATGAAAATAGAAATTTTCATTATATTATAGAATATACATATTTCCTTTTCTTAAAAATACAATTATTAGATTACTAAATTATTCAAGAACACTTCTTTACGTTAAATATAAATAATATAATTAAAGTGTAAGTTAAATACGTAAATCAATAGAGAACTGTATGCTTGTCATATACATTCATTTCAAATTTCGCGCTTGTGCAAAAGAACAAAACCACTAAATTTTAAGACAGAAAATATATAAAATGATATATTCAATCATGTATCAATTGTACAGAATGAAAGAGTTACAATTTCATTGCCATAAACTATTCAGGTAATTTTAAAAGGAAAATTTCAAAATAAATTTTGAAAGTTTCCATTGACTTTTAGAACGCAGATAAGTAATCATTGATGTACAATCTCTCCAGCTATAATCTGTGTCTTGTGTAGCGGCATTGTTGACGTGATTTGATTCTTCTCAGAGTTCGCGTGAACCAATTTCTCTAAATATGGAATTGAACACGTAATATTCACTGTCACGCGATCGAAATCGAAATTCAAGATGTTGCGGACCGGTATCCTGTATATTCCAGCCGTAGTGGCGTTCTTCTATTGGAATAATTTGCTATGGTTTTACGTTTTCTGCGTGCTAACCATATCCTGCTTCTTTGTGGGATGTTTGATCGTCACGTTCATAAACATAGTTCTTTCGCCGAAACACGCAACTGCATCAACGACTTTAAAAACAATCGCTGAACTGGATGCCTTTCACAATTTGTTGATGGTTGGTCTTATGTTGTTTTCACTAAATCTCTGGTAGCAGCATATAATTATGTTAAAGTTCCCTGACGTTTAATTTCAATAACTAAAAACCGTCGGTTCTCTTCAATTCTTAATGAAAAGGGAAGAGATTCACGACGCTCGTATTGTCCCTTTTTTAAATTAATTTTGATGCTGATATCAACTGATCTGAAAAGTATTGATAAGATAAGAAACATTAGAAAAACATGTATACTATTTGTTATCTATTTTATACTTCATGTTGTTATAACGTGATTTATTACAACATTATTATTATTATTATTATTACTATTATATTATGACAATACAACTTATTACTAAGTTGTTATTACAACTGATAAACGATACTTTGTAAATGTTAATCATGAATTGTGAATTATTTCAGAACGGATATGTAGTTAAAGCTGGAAATAGCAAGAAGCATATCAGATATCCGTTGGTCTTTACTCGCATGGTGGACGGAGCTTTGCAGAATTTGCTGGATTTAATTTTTCAAGACTTCGTTGGCGTTTGGCTGGACGAATTAGCTTTTAATTCAGAACAGATAATTAACAATATGAAGCAAGATACATGGGGAGCAATTCAAACTCTCCACGACCGTTTGTCAAAAGTAGACCACACAAAACTGGTAGTTTGTAGTATAGTAAATAAAATTACATTTCACTTTGAGAAGATTAGGCTTGCTCAAACTGCTTCGTAAGTTTAATTATTAAGTATCATACATATGTAACATAACAAAAATGATTGTTTTTAAAAGGATTTTACATAGGATACAGGGTGAAGATCCAGTATTTATTTTATCTACACATTTAATGTCACCTGCAGCTGAGTTAGACTATTTGAAAAAAGTTAGCGAATTATGTATCTTGTTTTTGTTACCGCCTTGTTATTCACTTGCACCAATGAAATATTTATTGAGAGAAATTCTCGCGTGTAAAAGTAAGTACATGGAACCATTATCTAATTGCATTTATATACACAACAAATATTTTATCTTCTTTCTATTCTTCCAGTACTAAAACCTGCAATAGACTTAATAACAAATCCGGACTATATTAACCAGAAGATTTTATCATATATTGATCAACAACAGCTTGCAGAAGCAATGCATCGAAAAACTTACGAGTATGCTGAATCATTTGAAGATTTTATTCGTATGATTAAAAGCTCTAAGGATTTAGAGGTTTTGAAACATATCAGATACAACATTGTTACCGAAATCATGCAGGCTACAACAATACAAAATATTAAAAGAGCACAAGGTTTAGATCCAGATACTAATGTATTTGGAAAGTCTGATGCTATTCAAGCTCGAAAATTGAAGAGATACATTAGTCAACTAACATACGCTAAAAATACATGTGAATGTCACATGCAATCGTTAGGATGGAACGGATATCCTGTTCAGGTTGTAAAAAACTTTTTCTTTAATAAACAAGTAACAACTGTATTTAAGGATAATATTTTGTAGACTAATGATGTTACCGATGCAGCAATGGTTACAGAAGGAAGCATTTTGCCGTTACAATATATTTTGGACAATGTGATAGGTAGACGATACCTTTCACAATTTCTTGAACAAGTTGCCAGCCAGGATTTGATTGGGTATTGGGCAGCTGTGCAAGAGTTACGTAATGCAGATAAATCTAACTGGCATCAATTGGGGGCTGAAATTTTTTACACTTACATAACGTCTTCAACTGCTGAAATAAAAGTTGATAGAGCTATTCGTAAGAAAATGGAAAGTTTTTTGTTAGGTGATATAGGACCTAACGTATTTTATGAAGTTCAAGACAGTGTTGTTAAAACTTTAGAAGAAAAGTATTATCCTTCGTTTGTCGTTAGCGATCAGTACAAAAGTATGCAAGAAGCATTGCTTAATGAGAGAATAGATGGTTAGTGTTAAGAGATTTGTTATAAAAATATAATTACGTTAACAATAAAATTATTATTGATATAAAATTAATTTTTAGACTTGGTGGAAAATCGACGTATGGGGAATGCAACATTATCAGAAAATATGTCTTTGCTTGTTGGAGAACATTCAAATTATGCCCGCAGTAAATTGGACCAACTACAGGAAAAATTAAATAACAAAATGCAAGCCTTACAAGCACTAAAGTCCTCGTTGAAACCAGAGAGCAAGGTTTTAAATTTTTTGGCCAAAGAAGTTGAATGGTTGCAGAGTGAAAAAAAACAACTGGAAGCACATTTAACTCATACAGAAATGTGGGCGGAACACTTAGGCCATTGGAAAGCAGAAGTACAAAGTGCAGAAGTAAATGAAGCTCAAACTGTTATAATTTAACTAGAAAATTCTTTTTGTTATTTAATTTTAATTAAAATGGTATTAATTTTTAAACAGATACCAGACAATGGAGAGTCTCCACAATTTGTTTTGGTTGTCCACATGACAGAAGATGAAGATAATAGTGAAAGTATATACAGTGGGTGGGTTGTACTAAGAAAATTGCAAGATTTTCAAGATCTTCATAGAAAGCTTCGCCAATTGTGCTCCAACGTGAAAAATTTAGATCTACCTTCGCAACCTTTAAAATTTTTTGGAAAATCTGATAAAAATACGTTGGACAAAGCTAAAATGCAAATACAAAAATATTTAAATGTAAATTTTCTAGATACTACATTAACAAAGCACTATTCAAATCAGTCGTTCTAACTGTTAACGTTCTTAGTTTGTTTTAGAAGATGAAAAATTGAATCAAAGCGAGGCTTTATATACATTCCTCAGTCCGAGTTCGGAACATTTAAAATATGCTCCTCCTTCTCCTAAAAAATCTCGATTTTCTCTGTCGACATTATTTAAAACGTAAGTAGCCATATTATCTAATAATAATTGTTATTATGTTGAATTAAATTGTTCAATTAAAATTTTAGATCCAACAACAGCAACGAACTTCGCGATAAAGAAGAGGAAGAGGATTATTCATTGCTATTAGATGATACTGATAGTGGTCGAACAACCACGGATGGAATTTTGAATGTTAATAAAGATGCAATAGCCGAACCTCTTTATACACTTTTAGGTGAAATTTTCGATCTACGGGGAGTATTTCGTTGGCTTCGACGATCGTTAATAACCTTCGTTCAAATTACCTATGGTCGAACTATAAACAGGTTTATTTTTAATTTCAAGCTTAAACTTAAGCTTGGAAAATACTTTTTTTAATAATATAAACAAATACAATTATCAGGCAAATCAGAGATACTATCGCATGGGTGTTCTCCGAACCAATGCTTCACTATTACATACAATTGTTTACGAAATCATGGTGGCCAAACGGTTATTTAGTTTCTGAGACGACTTCTCGCACAGATGAAGAAAAGTTAAAAACAAGAGGTGAAGCACGAAGACAATTCTTAAATAATATTCCTGATGTTTTAACAAATTTGGTAGGAGCACAAAGTGCTCAACGTGGTGCAATAAAAATCTTCGATTCCTTACAAAATGTGAATTTAAATAAACAATTATTTTACGTAAGTTATTCTCAATTAACAAAATTTCTTAATTATATTACATTAATTATATTTTATTAATTTCTTTGACTTGCAGGATATCTTTGAAGTTGTGATGTATGAAATATTTCCAGAATTTAAACGAATACAATAATAAACTGCTTACAGTGAGAATTCTTTCAATATTTTACATCATTATATAAAGAGAAATTATGGTAATTATATATGATTTATTTATGTCGAATAAGTTTTTTATTTATACCATGTGATACATGTAAGTGTCAATAAAGTATTAAAAATCTTCGTAACAAAAAAAATATTTTTACTAAAAATTAAATAGTAATATAAAAAAAAATCTGATGTTATACAGAAATATGTGATATAAATTATTTTTTAATAATTATAAATTGTAAAATGTTGCATTTCAACTTCAATTATAAAATATTATTGCAGTCTTTAACGAGAATAACCAGTTTTGATTATTATAAAACAGATTAATTATACTTTATCAACATATCGGTATTTATTCATATATCTTTATTTCAGCATGTATTAAATATCTTTATAGAATGTATACAATTTTTTATATATTATAGAATGCAAACAATTTTTTATATATAATTTTCTTCCATGCATTAAAAAATTTCGAGCATAATTTTATGAAACATGATTGACGTATATCTTAAATGTAAACTGATCCTTTTATAGTCATCTCATAAGTCATGCCATTTCAATATTTGTTGTTTAAGATTCTTTTAAACAGATCATTATATCGTATAAAATAATTGTGTATAATAATTTAACTAGTTATACTATTTAACGACATAATGAATTCAAAATGAAAAATATGATTCAAAACCTCAAATATGATCAATCCTTTCCAAATTATAAAAAAAATAAGGAGGAAGAAAAGGTAAAGAAAAAAGTCTGCATTCATTATATCACTTCTGTATAATATTAATAACTTGTATTTGATATATATTTTTTCTTTAGGAAGTGTAAAATGAAATTTGTTTGATCAAGTAGATTATCACTAATTGTTAAATAATTGTTATATAAAAGGAACGCTTAATTTTAGCAATTTGCTAATATAGTTTTATAAACAATTCAATAAAAAGTAGGAATATAAAATTTTGTAGTTAATAAAAACTAAAGTATAAATTCACGTATAATAGATTTAGATCACGATATATAAATTGAAAAATGAGCTATCTGTTTTGAATGTTTCTAAGTATGAAAATGACATTACTTATATGATGACTTAACGAATGAATAATGCAATGATTCTCTGTAATTATTCAAAATATAATTTAAAGATAGATTATTTAAATGTAGCTGAAAAAGGGACTAGCTTTTATATTATTTATTGTTCTATATGAGAATATTAATCATTCTCTTTCCATCAACTATAAATCGTTTATAAAGCACGTAATTATTTATCATTATTTTTAACATTATCATAAATCAACAAATGGATAAACATACAAGTACTTTTGTTATCAATCTTCATAAACAAATAAAAATACATGGATAAAAAAAACATATAATAAAAATATCTATTCATAAAAAAACATATATTCTTAAACATTAACATTATACATACAAAGTTTGATAAAAAGAAAAAGAATGGCGCTGTGAACATAAATTATGAACATTTTCATACGATAATATATATTATAAAAATGACAAAATTTACGTGTTTTCCAATCAATGAGTTAAAGAAATTAAAAAATAAATGTAATTAACATTTTGTTACATATCAATAAACAGATTTCTCAAGGATAAAAATTATATATAAACAGTATTACAATATTTTTCTATCAAACCTCGTATGTTATACGGAAAGTAAAAATTGTTTTAACTTAATGGTATAAAAGTAACTATATACCATGGTATAGATTACGTTAAAGGAAAAATACCATTGACATGTTATAAATATATATAGATATACAGAGCCTAATATTTAAACATTTAATATAAATACTGTTATGTCTTTAATGGCATCGACTAGAATTATTTAAAAAATATTATTAAAAATGACGAGAGAGTTCTTATTACTTATGAAAATTGACGAAAATAATGTAACTTTGAATCTATAAGAGTTTTATCAACTATTATGACAATTTATAAAATTCTTTTGAAGTGTAGTTAATGGAATATCTAAATTTTATGTGTACAGAAAATCGCACGTGAATTAATAAATAATCATGTACATGTAATGAATATGTCCTAACTTTATATGAAATTAAAAGATACGTTTAAATTGTATAGAATTTTTAAATGACGTGATATTGTTGACTAGTTGGATCCCTTTTTCTATTGCAAAAAGTATACACGTTACCAAAATGTATACCAATCTTCATTTACTTGGCAGTGAATTCGGGCCAATAATTTACATAATAACGATGTGTTGAACCTTCGAACAGCCTATCCAGCCACATTGGTAAACCATCCAAAAGATTGTCCTGGAATAAAACATTATTTCCATCCTACAACATATAAAAATTAGTAAATTTAAAGAGAAATTCAACATTTAGAATATAAATGATAATAAAATTTATTCAAAGATTTATATTGATTATATATTTTAAAATATTACTATTATTACCTCTTCTTCAGAAACATCAGATTCATTGGAACTGTCAAAACCTATAAATGCGCCAGCTTCTGCATCATCTATTCTCCGAGATAATTGTTTCGTTATTCGCTCTATTCTCTGTGTATACAAATATCATTAAAATTCGCATTTTTTTACATATTTAATAAATGAATGTTTAAGCATATAACACATACCTTAGAACTCTTGCCTTTAGTACACTCTGGATGTTTAGCATGGTATATACAAAAATATTTACGATGACCATTTAAAGATAATACAGTGCCAATACAATTTTTGGGATTTATGTTTAGTTCTTTTTGTTCTAGCAAGGTAAGAGATAGCAGTTTTTTATACCACTCTAACCCTCTTTCAAGAGACAAATGTGCAAACATAAGAGTTTTATTTTTCCTGTAATAATATCAATTATTCTTGTATCATAATAAATATTTTTTTACAAATGTGCTAAACTTACCTATAAGGCCATACAGATTTATGAAAAGGTGGTAATAATTTTAATCTACTTTGAACATCGACTAATAATATAATGGTTCTACAGCCCGGTTTTAATAGTCGAACTAAACCATTATATTTCTCTGCTCGCAATTCATGTAATCGCAATTGTGGATGCGTTGATTTATCCTTATATTGAGCATGTTCAGCTTGAATACTTGCTTCCTCTAATTTTCTATATAATTTTGAAAACCAATATAAATAAAGTGTAGAAATGTATCAAATGAAGTGCATCATTTTAAAGTCATTTTACTTACGCTAGATACGACATCCCATATCCCGCAGCACCAATTAACATTAAAGTAGCAATTACTGATACTAAAGGCAATATTTGCTCCTTAGTAAGACTATCCGAAATATAATCTACAGCTAGTAATGCTTTTCCAATAAGTTTGTCTACAGTACCCTATACAGAATTACAATTGTAAGTTATAGTCTTAATTTAGAAAAAAAAAGAAAAAAAAGAAAAATACAAGACTGCAAACCTGTGCATGTTCATCTGCTAATTCATCTACAACTGCGGTATATGGTAAAGCTTCAGATACACGCAATAATCTTTTTATAGTTTGTTCCAAGTTGCGACGTGTTTCATTCCATTGAATTTCATCTCGAACAGCTTCAATCCAATCAGTAGGTAACCATTCATATTTCAAATGATTTGCATCCCTTCTCCAAATAATGACAATATGTAATAGAGGTTCTAAAGGACTGCCCTCCCCTGTTGATAGTGCTGACACAAATTCTGATTGTGTATCTTTAAATACGTATGTATATCGGACTCTTTCAATACTGTAAATCAGGCACAATAAAGTAAAATGATCGATATACATTGTCACTATTATCTATCAATTATTGTACCTGTAAGATGATTTTAAAGCTGCTTGTCTAAACTTATGCCTAGCTAAATCATGAAGAGGACTATTTTGTTGTGATATTAAAACTGCACATAATCGTTTTTGAGGTCTTAACCACTCAGGTGGACAAACTGAATCTAACATTGCTTGATTTGAAAGTCTTGGTAGAGCAAGAAATTTATTATTTAAAATAACATTGTGCATTGTATCACTTAATATATCTTTCATACTAACGGACGCCATAGGTTTCTCAGAATTTTCGTTAAATAATAATAAAGTATCCAAGTCCACAGAGATTTTATATTTTATTACAATAAGTTCAGTATCTGGTTTTCCCGTCTGCAAAAAATAGATTGCAACTGAAATAATTGGAAAACTAAATAATTTAATAAATTGAAGATGAATAGAAATAAAAAGTACCTGAACGAAACCAAATGCAACACGATCTCTGTAATAAAACGCAATGAATAGATATCGTAATCTAACAGATTCTTTCTTATCAAATATTAAAGCTCGAATTCGATTATCTATCCATCCTGAGAGAAAATTATCTAAATTATTTTTATTTATGTTAGATATTAATTTATATGGAAATTTGTTTCGTAAGAAGTCTGTAAGAGAAATAAACAACTTAGTTCCATCATAATACGAAATTGTATTGTATAATATTATATTATACATACCAACAATTTTTTGAATACTAAAAACGGATTCTTTGTATACACTTGTACGACCATCTATTGTGACAACAAGATATGGTAATGAATGAATTCCTAGTTTCCTTGCTAAAGCAGACTCCTTTTCAGCATGTGCAGTTGCTAAACCAAGACCCAATGGTTCTAATTCATCAATCAAACGTCGCCATGTTGGTTCTACTTGTAAACATGCAAAGCACCAATCCGAATAAAATAGTATCAGATAAGGTGTACGGAAAGTTTTTGGTACTATAATATTTTCAAATGATCTGCAAAAATCACAAAACATGTAAAGTCTATGTTACTCAGACAAATGATCATAGCGTTTTCCAAATTGAAATATCTAAAATAAGATATTTTTTGATAAAATAATACAAACCGATATGTAATGCTCATCTTATAGAAAAGTGAAATATCTCGATGATAATGAAACTTGAAATTTCTAGCAAATATTTCTTCCAATGGATCAAAGACATTGTTAAAGTAACTATTGTCTCTTTTTTGCTTAGAAATATTTTCTTCTGTGATTCCATGATTATCAAAATTTTTTCTTCTTTCTGGATCAGTTAAGATCTAAAAATGAGAGGAATTTCAATAAAAAAAAGATACCTATTGCCATATTTTTCACCGATATTAATTTTACCTCATAAGCTTTGGTAATTTCCACAAATTTGTTTTCTGCACCTGGGTGATCAGTTTTATCTGGATGCCTGAGGAAATAAAATTTGAAAAAATAAATTTAAATAATTGTAAACTCAAGTAATTGTACTATGTTCTAAAGGGAGGGAAATAAGAAAATCCAAATATATTTTTAACGATTAGAAAATTAAGAAAATCCAAATATATATTAACGATTAGTGTACTTTAGTATGATCTCGATGAAGTGTGTAATTCTAAATATAAAATAGCTTATTTTTGTTAATAGCATGCAACTTCAGTATACTCGAACAATTTCTAAAATATAGAGAAATAAAAGTGAGTGTTAATCTTTGCAAAAAAGACAATAATGTACAGAAGTGAATCCAATACGTACCACTCTTTGACAAGATTTTTATATGCTTTTCGAATTTCTTGTAAAGTCGCACGTTTGTGAACACCTAATATTTTATACGGATTTCCTAATGACTCGCTTGCGCTGACCGCCGACAATTGGTGGGTTGTTACAACAAAAATCACAATAAAAAATGAGAACCTCATTAATGATTCTATGTTACTCGCTTTCCTATTAATATTAGTTGATCGTTTGCCTATTGACTCGGAGGTTCTTAAAAAATTAATCGATAACATTATTTGTGACGCAGTTTTAACATGAATATATATCTAGTTGATTTGCAACACTTTAACATCAAGTCTGCATCGATTAAAACTATCCCTTTCTCGTCTTGCAATACGTAACGAACATGTTCAAATCACGAATTTTCCCCTTATTTTTGCGGCGGAAACTTTGTCATTGGAATTTTATGGTGATGTTTCTCGACAACCATCTTGTCAGATCGAGTATACACAGAGGACACTAAATCTTGAAATGCTGTAGTAGGACAAGATAGAATCGATTACGAGAGGGCGTTGAAATGCATCTTTACCTTTTCCATGTTTATTTTCCCTTATGATTTTAAAGAATAAAATATATATATTATATTATTTAGTATAGATCATAAATATCTATTACTTATCGATTCAGTTACCCAATACAAACTAAAATACGGAGGATTTATTTTAGTAAATTATGTATTTCTTCATAGTCATACCTTAAAATTTATCTTTACTTAAAATTACAAAATTACGTCTTTATATGTTAGTTATTCCTTTTGAAAAAACTTAATAACAAATTAGAAAAATAGCTATATATTCTTTGATTATATTCATTATTTGTTATCATAATTATGCAAACTCATTACATACAGATTTTATATTTGAAAGAAATTAATTTTTATTAATTTTTACATGTTCTGTTTATATGAGAAAGGATAAAAGTATTCATCAAATTATTTATTTTTGAATCTAGTAACTAAAATTCTGGTGGCGCCACGGAATAGTTCTCTTTCTCTTCCCCTCTTCAAAAATTTATAAAAATAGACCGAGCAATTTCCAACGAAATTAGCAAGTTTATGAAACAAATTGATTATTTGTTGCCAAAAAAAAGCACATTTTTCAAATAAACTTAACGAATGTGTGAAATTATAAAGAAATATTTTCGTAGCTTACATTAGTATACATGTCCCTACATACTCTCTTGTTTGAACGAGATGAGGACCATCTAATTATATTGATTTCGTTGTCATCTATTATATCACACGTTCATTTGTATTATTTAAAAAAAATATAGAAAAAATATTGAATTCCCAATAACGTTATTTCTCATGAATAAATCAATGCCTCAATGCTGTTCTGTCCCAATGGTCATAGACTGACGTGTGACATAACATCCAATATTATAGATCTACTTTAATATAGAAAAATGGCTACTTGGGCTGAGGACGAAATTGGACGAAAATGGGATCGTTGTTTTACTGATGCTATATTTAAATTTGGTAATTATTATCTAATAATTGAGACTGTGCGGGACTTTGAAATGACAAGAGATCAAATTTATTTATGATAATAATAACGACGTTTCCATAGGAGGAGGAATTCTACTTGGAGGAGTAGTTTCTCTATTTTTTTTCAAACGTAAGTCTCAAATTATTTAGAACATTAAGAATCTTCATATATTTTCTAATGATTAATAAAAATTTACATATAATATGATAGATGTAATTAACTTTTATCCAATTAATTCTTAGAAGATGTACACTATTGAAAGTTAAGTTCAATTTCTGACTGAAAAATACAAATAATATAACGTTATTGATTTTATTGCACATAATCTTACATTTTCACGCAAATATTATGTCTGATTTTGAAATTTAATTGATGAAAATGTCTTGTTACGCATGTAATATAGGTTAGGTTTCAAGATATCTCGAATGTGAAATCTTGATATTAATTAGTAGATTTCTACAAGTTATCTACTAACTTCTTAATTAGATAGTTTAATCTAATTTTAATAATATTTTTTAATAAATATAGAATATGCATATATATATATATATATATATTATATGAATCTATATGTAAATATTAATTTTCTTTTAGGAAGAAAGTGGCCTATTATAACTGGTGGAGGTTTTGGATTAGGTATGGCATATGCTAATTGTCAAGAAGATTTGAATTCTACAATAAGACAACAAAAATCCAGAGAATGTAAATCAGATAAAAAAAAACTGCCTGAAGAAAAGAAAAGTTCTTAGCAAACTTTCTGTAAAAAAAATTGTTATGTTGTTACCAAACAACATACAATATACCAATAAACTAGTTGAACTTGTATTATAGTGTCATACAAAATAAACTCTTTCATAATTATTAATATAATTTAAAAATGTGAAATATACATATTTATTATTTTATTTTACTATTATTAGCATTTAAACATAAATATTCAGATGCTAAATAAAATATTTATTTTCTATATCTAGTACTTTTAATGTTTTTCTAATCTTATAGTTATATTTTCACTGTAAAGAGAAATTCGGACATATTAGTATAGACAATTGTAAATAAATAAAGTGTGTGACATCAGTATCATTAGATTTGAATAAGAAAGAAATATTGCAATTATCAAAATGTATATCTTGTAAAACTCAAACAAATCACCATGTGTTTTTAAGTAGTTATTACTTTATTATTCTAGTAAATTGTCGAACATTGATAGTCAAAAAATAAATTGTTTACATTAAGAATTTTATAAAATATTTCGAATATTCTATCTAATATGATTGATAATGTTTTTTACTACAATTAAATACTCCCGCGTTTATTTGCACGAACAAAAGTTACTAGATTGGTAACATTTGCAATGTGTGTAGCTCGTAACAATTTCGCCCTTTCACTCGTTATTTTTTAGAAATGCTGTAGTTATTAACTTGTACTTTTTATTCTTTTATACTAAATAAAATGGACAAAACGAATGTATTTGTAAGAAATTAACGAAAAAAACTTATCCACGTATTAAGCTTTGTTTTTGGAGATTTTCGTCGATACATTTCGACACATAAAACAGAATTTCTCTGAAAGAATGGATCTGACTCAAATCTAAACAGATCTATTTGTTAATGCCTGTTGAAAGCATTTTTGTATAACCGCGTATATTGGAGTGAAGTTTGCGTGATTGATATAAGAAAGAAATTACTTTGGTTTAATTGGAACTGAGATAAAATGTTGACTGCTGCTGCGAATTCCTTATCGAATAACGGAGGCTCGTACAGCAATGATAGACCATCTAGCACGGCAGATCCAGAATTTGTAACTGATCCTGCTTCGGGTGGATTTTTTCACTCTGATTATAAAAAGTGAATATTTCAATGATTATATGCTTCATATGTAAAAATAAGCTTATAGACTTTCAAATTTTCACTCAAATGTACCAAAAAAATCTGACATACTTTTTCCAATAAGAAATCTTATATATTTTTTAAATATAATGGTATTTTACATCGATTTTATTTTATTACTTTAATTATTTTAATTTTATCTTGTAATGTAACGTTTACAATTTGCATTTATATTTTACACTTTCTACAGTTTTGATTATATGTTTGAAATGTTATAACTTTGACATACTTTACAATATGTTATTTTTTTATATCAATAGTAATTTTATTAAATTTCCTATATATTTTGTATTATGTATTTAAAATATTGAAGATATAATACATATTTTTAATTATATTATGATTTCTAATGTTGATATTGTATTATAAATGTGTTTTGTTATTAACGTAACTTATATTAAATTATTAATCAAGAATATACGATGACAAAGGAATATTTTTTTTTAGACACGAAGACTTGAAACAAATGTTGGATAGTAATAAGGATGGACTTAAGTTAGAAGCTATGAAACGTATAATTGGGGTAATAAATCTTTTACATTTGTTATCTAATCATTTCTCTTATAACCTTTTGTTAAATAAATAAAATAATGTATACCGATTATGTTACCATTAAACAAAAGGACCTGGATTAATATTCATTGATTTAACTTAATAAGTTTATATAAGATTAATATGTTATGTTATCAAGTAATTATAATAAATTATTTTTTCAGATGATAGCAAAAGGAAGAGATGCGTCAGAATTATTTCCAGCTGTAGTAAAAAATGTTGTATCAAAGAATATAGAAGTGAAGAAATTAGTTTATGTTTATTTGGTGCGTTATGCTGAAGATCAACAAGATCTTGCACTTTTATCTATCTCTACATTTCAACGAGCATTAAAAGATCCTAATCAATTAATAAGAGCCAGTGCTTTAAGAGTACTTTCAAGTATACGAGTTTCTATGATAGTGCCTATAGTAATGCTTGCTATCAAAGATTCAGCCAGTGATATGTCACCATACGTTAGAAAAACTGCAGCACACGCAATTCCTAAACTTTATTCACTAGATTCTGAGCAAAAGGAGGAATTGATAGGCGTTTTAGAAAAATTATTATCAGATAAAACAACTCTTGTTGTGGGTTCTGCAGTAATGGCATTTGAAGATGTTTGTCCTGAAAGAATAGATTTGATACACAAAAACTATAGGAAGCTCTGTAATTTATTAGTAGATGTGGATGAATGGGGACAAGTTGTCATAGTCAACATGCTTACAAGATATGCAAGAACACAGTTCGTTAATCCCAATGTAGATGTACGTATACTTTTTCAAAATCATAGGTAATCTATATATATTAAGATTATATTTTTTGAAACCAATTGTTATAGAACATAGAAGATGATGAAAATCGTCCGTTTTATGATTCTGATTCTGATTCGTCTAATACAAAAAAACCAAAATTAACAATAGATTCAGATCATCGATTATTATTGCGAAATACAAAACCCCTTTTACAAAGCAGAAATGCTTCCGTTGTAATGGCAGTATCTCAGTTATATCATCACACTGCACCACGAAGTGAAGTAATGATTGCTGCAAAAGCATTAATCAGATTATTAAGAGGACACAGGGAAGTTCAAAGCATAGTTCTTCACTGCATTGCTAGCATATCAATTGCCAGAAAGGTAATGTAAGTACTAATATAATGACTGTGAAATAATTTCTCATAAATATATAACAAATATTACTTTCACATGGAAGCTTAACACAATTTTTATTATTTTTACACAGGGAATGTTTGAACCTTTTCTTAAGTCATTCTTTGTAAGAACTTCAGATCCTACTCATATAAAACTTCTGAAATTAGATATTTTGACCAATTTAGCAACTGAAACCAGTATTGGAGTTATATTAAGGGAATTCCAAACTTATATTTCTAGTAGTGATAAAGAATTTGTTGGAGCTAGTATACAAGCAATTGGGAGATGTGCAAGTAACATAAAAGAAGTGACGGATACATGTTTGAATGGATTAGTTTCATTATTGAGTAATCGAGATGGTGAGTAATTGTACTATAAAGTACAAAATTATATGTTATAAAAATTAAAACGTAATTTTTTATTCAGAGGCTGTTGTAGCAGAAAGCGTTGTTGTTATAAAGAAGTTACTACAAACTCAACCGAACGAACATAAAAACATAATTGCTCACATGGCAAAATTAATGGATTTCATAACTATACCACAAGCCAGAGCATCGATCTTGTGGCTCTTAGGAGAATATTCAGATAGAGTACCTAAGATAGCGCCAGATGTTCTTAGAAAAATGGCTAAAAATTTTGTAAACGAACAAGATATTGTGAAGCTTCAAATTTTAAATTTAGCTGTAAAACTGTGTCTAAATAATCCCATTCAAACCAAGCCATTTTGTCAATACGTTTTTCAGCTTGCAAAATACGATCAAAACTATGATATTAGAGATCGTGCACGTTTTTTGAGACGTTTTATTTTTGATGAGGATGGTCATAAGAAAAAACTTCCACAGCTTGCGAAAAGAATATTTTTAGCACCAAAACCTGCACCAACTCTAACATCCAGGTTTAAAAATTCTGAATATCAGTTAGGGACATTGTCACATTATTTGGATATGCCATGTGCTGGTTACCGTCCTTTGCCACCTTTCCCTGATGTAGCTCCTGAACCATCAGTGAGAGATGTTGCAAGCGGCACTACTAAAAATGCAAGAGATGAATATTATAGGAAAGATAAGAAAGATAAAAAGGGAAAAGAGAAAGAAAAGCCTTTCTATAGTGATGAAGAAAGTGTTCAAGCAGATGGTACGTTAAAAATTATTAAACCTGCAAATAAAATTTTAATTTTAATTTTTTTTTAATTTTTAGAATCTTCAGATACTTCGACAAGTGATTCTTCAGATGATGAAAGTGACTCGTCTGAGTATATATCAGAATCTGAAAAATCTGAAAACGATGAAAATGAAAAAAAGAAATCTACTAAAGTATCTGATGAGTCGAACAGTGAGTCTGAAAGTGAAGAATCAGATTCTGAAGAATCATCCGAGAATTCTCAGGAAAGTGAAGAAGAAAAATACAAGGCTTCAATTCAAGAAGCAGAAGAAAAACCAAAAAGCAACATTGATCTCCTTTTAGACTTAGATGATGGTAATATTATTGAATGTTTAGCAAAGGAAAAAGCTTAAATATTATTTATTAATTTGTTCAAAATTTTATTTGCCAATTTCAGTGGTTCCAATGACGCCAGTTATGCCATTAAGCACAGGTGGTCTTCTTACTCCTATCAATTTGAATATTACAAATGATGTCAGAGAAGTTTCTGCTTCTTTTATTCCCATAAAAAAATCTGAATTATTAAGTAGTATTATGGGTCATGGTTTAAAAATTGAATACAGATTTACTAGGTCGCAGCACTTAGTAAGTGCTTATTTAGTTACTATTGAATTAACATTTTCAAACGAAGGTAGCGAACCTGTTAAAGAAATACAAGTTGGAGTAAAGGTAAATTCACATGATACATATGAGCCCTTTAATTGATACGTGAATTAAGTCCTTTTTTTCTTTAATAGAATTTACCAAAAGGAATGCTGATACATGATTTCATACAAATACCACTATTAGAAAAAAATTCAGAATTATCCACTACATTGGGAATCAATTTTAACGATTCCACACAACCAGCAAATTTTAATATTGACTTCATAATTGGAGAGGATATATATTCCTGTCCAGTTACTATTAAAGCTCCAATTGGAGAAATAATAAGAGCCGTGCTTTTGTCAGAAAGTATGTTTACAACTGAAAAAACCAAATTAAAAGGTATGAATGAACATGTTGCAAAAGTGCAATATTCTGGAAATAAGAAAATTATTTCCCCAAAAGTTTTCGAGACTGCAAATGTTGCAATAATATCTAACAATGATGAAGAAATCAGGTAAGAAAAGTTCGAATTATTAGATCATCCAGAGTTCTAAAATTTCTCTTTTTTTCCAGGTTTGCCGCCCATACTTTAGCATCAAAGTCTTTGGTATTAGTGACAATAAAAATGATAGGTAATGAATGTTTGGAAATATGTGTTAATTGTGAAAAGATGGTAATAGGTTCTATCTTGTTAAATGAATTAAAAAGTAATTTAAAGATGAACTAAATATTTTCTACTTATAGTCATAAATTAAATATACTTGTATAAAATAAGTATAAGATTCTTACAATGGTTAAGTGCATATATGTTTAATTTCGCATGAAGATACACTAATTAAATATAAAAATTTAAATATAATATATTTGTTATGAGATCATTAAATTTTTATAATAAATTGAGATTATTGTTTAGTAAAAAAATATATATGTCAATTTTGTAAACCGTATTCAATTATTTGTTAAGTTAATTACTCCCTAATAATATTGTTTATACCCTTACACTACTATATATAAATACTTGAACCCTCAAATTTGCTTTAAGATTGCTTTTCTCGGATCTATTTCTTCCCTTTTAATCGTGAATCTATATTCTTTGTATTCTTTCTTTTATATTCATTTGGTTCGCATCTAATTGATTAATAATTGCATAATTATGTTATTTACTTTTGAAATATATATTTCTTTCCAGTATATCTCTTGCTATTTTTTATCATCGAAATAATTTTTATTGGTCAAAATAGTAATATAATTAAATATTGATTATTGCAACTATAAAAATAATGAATCATCTTATTGATATATTTCTTTCTATTTGTATTTGAACTATTCGATTTGAACTCGTAACAATTATCGTGTACAATCGATATTCGAATGTCGATAGTTATGTATATCGACTATCGAACGAATATGCGATGCGTTCATTTGGCTGCACGATTTACGGTAGGAAGGTACGAGATCAATAGATCTAGTGTTATCTAGAGTAATCTTTTATTATAACAACAAAAATTTATACATTTTATCACATTTTATGCATTTTAAATATCCTTTTTTAAAAAAAATACTATATTTTCTGTTAATATTATGATATTTTCAAAATTTCATAATTTAAAGTTTGACATTTCATTGATTTTATATAAGAAAAAATAACATATATTTTCTTAATTTTCATAATCATAATAATATCTTGTAAAAAATTTAACCCAATGATCTATTATTGTTTGTTTTAAGTATTAAAATTTGACTTGTGAAAACATAACGGTGACATAACCTTTACAAAACACGATGCATATGTTTAATTAAAGGTTACGATAATAGAATAGGATAAAGTTTTTGTTAAAAATTTTGTATTCATTTTTTTTTTTAACTGTGCTAGCCTTCATTTATTTAGGACAAATATCAAAGTGAAAAATAAATGTATGACTATTAACTTGTTTATTTTCTAGATGGCCGATACAATTGAACCAAAAGAAACAACAGCTCAGGAGAACAAAAGTACTTCTGCAAAGACGAAAAAAGGTGGGAAGGGAGGAAGAATTAGGCCTAGAAATTACAATCTAGGGAATGGCGTTTATAGATTTAGTCGTACTCGCATGTTTCATAAAAAAGCCATCTATAAATTCATCGATAAGAAAACTCCAAAAACTGTATGTTAAACAATATCATATACATTATTTATTCTATATCTATATTAGTTTATATCTATATTAATATTTTGTTTATGTAATGTATGTGTAGGTTAAGCCTAAAAAACCAATCACCATTGAAAAGAAAATTAGTGGTGATAAAAATGGAGAAAAACGAATAGTGTTGTTAAAAAAGAAGCGTGCAAATTTTCCTACTGCAGATCCAGTAACCGTGCATCACTCCAAAAAATGTTTTCGAGATCACCACCGATATTTGAGATCTTCTTTGCAAGCAGGAACTATTTGTATCCTGTTAGCTGGCCTTCATAAAGGAAAGCGTGTTGTTTTCCTGAAGCAACTTAAAAGTGGACTACTCTTGGTCACTGGTAAGATTTATTTAGATTTATTGTAATATAATAAACTGAGATGTTGTTTTGAGATATTTAATGAAATTAAAATATTAATAAAATATGTTTTAAAATAGGTCCTTTCATGATCAACGGTTGCCCCCTTCGTAGAGTTAGCCAGAATTATGTAATCGCTACTTCAACGCGTATCAACATTTCTGGTTTAAAGATTCCAGCTCACATCAATGACGATTATTTCAAAAGAAAACGCGAGAAACGCGCGAAGAAGGAAGAAGGAGATATTTTCAGTAAAAAGAAGGACGAATATAAACCAAATGATCAAAGAAAGGCTGATCAAAAATTGGTTGATAAATTTATAATCGCTGCTATTAGGAGAAACAAAGAGAAAAAAACATTATTCACATATTTATCAGCGATGTTTGGTCTGAGGAGCAACCAGTACCCACACAGATTGAAATTTTAATCTTTTGTGATTTGATTACAAATGTATATAATAAATACAGAAACAAAATAAATTCTTTTGAAACTTTGATTATAAATAATCATAATTATCTTTATTTCTTTTTTACTTTATATGGGAAATGATATGTGTAAAACTTTATACGTAATGATAAAACAAAACTTTTAATATCAGTTTAATATATATAGAGGAAATACAAGAGAAATTTATAATTTAAATATTTTTTTATATTTATGAAGAATGAAGATTACTTACATAAGCATTATCAGTGTCAGCTATTAGTTTCGATTGCGCATGCGCAATACGAATTGGAACGTCAAATACAGGATTGAATAACATCATTGTATTGTGATATTGTAATATGTAAAATATGTTTCAAACAAAAATATGCATATATCTTCATATGTAGTTTTCACAGTAATCCAGTCAGTGTTTAGCATTTGAATAGTGGCATTATCGTATCAGATACTGCGATGTAAATTCGTATTCATTAACAACAAATGTCTGTATGCATGTGACATGTGACATATTCTCAAATGTCTTCTCCCAAAACCACCGAATATTCCGGTAATTATCAACGATTTAATGAAGATGCCAACATATCACTCGAACAAAATAGTTCACATCGACCATGTCAAAGTGAGTAGAATTAATTTTATCCATATTATTTCAATTCATTTCGTATTTTACTTAATCTTTACCATAAAATTCCTTGTTTTTTAATAACTATGTTATTTTTGTCATTTTCATTCTTACACTTTCGTCTTGTGATATTTACCAAGATACACCTTGTGTTTTACTTCGTATATTTCTGCATTTTTTTTTTTTTTTTGTATAATTATCTGTAATAACATTTAACTGTAATACTAAATTTTGTAAAAATATCCTTAATTATATTATAGGAGAGAAAGAAAGAATATTTATTTATCATTTAAAACTATCATTTATTCTTGTTATAGAGATATTTATTTTTTATTGTAGAATATGGATCTATATTATCATATCCTTCTGCAGAAAATCATCTAAACTCTTCCACTGAAAATATAAGAACAATCGATCCAATCATTCATAAATTTGAAACAGATGATGCACAAAGAGAAAACATGTCTGAAAATGTAATACTTCCATCGCAAGATTCACTCACAGATCATGATCTATATTGGGAAATGAATTATCATGAGGCTGCTATATATTTAGAGGTATTATATATACTTACATGTGCATGCAAATAATCGTTTGTAAATTCTATTTACAAAAAATTATCTACACAGGAAGGTAGAAATAACGAAAAATTTGATTCACATCCGAAGCATCCCGAAGATTTACCAGCATATCTCTTAGTTCATAATAACTGGTATTATGGCTTAGATTTATTAACTTCTCTTATACTTTTGGCTTTGGCTCTTGTTGAAGAACCAGCTGTACCACTGTTTGGCGTAAGTTATTGATAAGAAAATGCGTTTATTTTATTTTATTGGTTATTAATGTATTAGGTTATTAATTTTAGATACCAGTATGGGCACATGGATCCATAGAACTTTTTGCTTTAATAATTATAGGTATAGAATTAGCTTTGAAGTTAAGATGGATTGGTTGGTCAACAATGTTAAAACACAAACGAACAATGCTAAAGGTAAAAACAATTTTCTTTTCGAATAAGATTTGATAGTTTATATTAAAATTTCATAGAACTAATACATAGCATGATGCTATTTATGAGAAGATAAGCAATGTTGTAACTATAGACTACTTAAGATTGCATTTTTATTGAAATGAGACACTGATAATTGTATTATTTGTTCATTTGTAATATATTGTATATATTAATACCTTTATCACAAAATCTCTTATAGAAAACATTTAGTTTTAAAGTATGTATAGTGTATGAATAATACCACTGCCACTGACTCATTTATGTTCATATCTATTATATAATAGTTTAAAATTGATGATATGTTTGTATAATATGAAATTTAACAAATATAGTTAATTATTATAGTATAATTGCTCTACCATAATTATGGAATAATTTGGAACAACATAAAAATATGAATTAGAAAAATATGATTAGATATCATTGAAAAAGTATAAAATTACACATTATTGTATTAATTAAAAATATCTTCAATTAAAATTTTGAGAAAAGTAAGGAGAGTATTGTACATGAAAATTATTTTTACAGTGTATTACATTGGTCATCATGTTTTTAGAGGCGATGACAGTATTAGTACGACAGTCATCGCACTTCCGTGTAACACGTGCTCTAAGGCCTATTTTTTTAGTAGATACAAAATGTTTTGGAGGCGTTAGAAGATTTATCAGACAAATACTTTTGACCCTGCCTCCGATTCTGGATATGTTAGGCTTGCTTTTATTTTTTGTAACACTTTATACAGTATTGGGCTACTACATGTTTTCTGAAATGAATAGAAATTTTTCTACATTACAAGATAGTTTTGTGAGTCTGTTTGTTCTTCTTACTACCGCCAAGTAAGTTTCTAATTAAGTTTCTAATAATATTTTTAAATTTAGATACATTTTATTCTCTTTAGTTTTTAGTAACAATTTCAGTATTTAGCTTTCCAGATGTGATGATGCCATCATATTCAAAAAACAAATGGTATGCAATATATTTTGTATCATACTTGTCTACAATGTTATATGTAATGATGAATTTGATGTTGGCGGTGGTTAACGAAACGTTTACAGCAGCTGAGCGTGATAAATTTAAAAAATTGTTTTTACATAAACGAAAAGCATGTCAACATGCTTTCAAGTTATTAGTTTCGAAACAAAATCCGGATAAAATGCGATTTCGTCAATTTGAAGGATTAATACGTTATTATGCTCCAAATAAAAGTATGTGAAATTCTCGTAGAAATACATTAAAAATAATTTTGTAAAATAAAGAGTAAGATTATATAAATAATTTATTTACAGGTATAAGAGACATTGTGCTAATGTATCAACATCTAAATTCTTCTGGAAGCGGAGTTCTGAGTGCTGAAGAATTTTTAAACATTTACGATACTATTATACTTCAGTGGGAGCCGCAATATTCTACTGTGCCTTGGTATCACAGTACATCACGACCTTTGCAGATTCTCTGCACAGGAGCGCATACAGCTATTAGATGGCCATATTTCGAAACTTTAATGTGTAAGTTTAAAAGAAAGACAAATTTTTATAATATTAACATTTACAACTCGCGTATTAAATTATAAAATATTTAGATATAACGATCATTGCAAATGGCATTGCTATGATAGTAAGAATATTACAGCCAGGTGATAATATTCATAGCACACTTCTATTTGCTGCATCTTGGGATACTTTTCTTTTTGGAGGAAGTACGTGAAAAGAATATTTATAAAAGCTTTGTGAAGAATCATTTTAATACTAATTTGATTTTGCAGTATTCGTCACTGAAGCACTGATAAAAGTGTTAGGACTTGGTACAAGACGATATTTGAGTTCTGGATGGAATCTTTTTGACTTGGGAACATCCATAATGACACTGGTTGCTGCTTGTATTTTATGTCTTTTTCCAACAGCAACATTTTTTGTTCTATTCAGACCACTTCGAATGTTGAGATTATTTAAAATTAAAAAAAGATATCGAGACGTATTTGGCACTTTAGTGATTTTAACTCCCTTGATGTCTTCTACCGCAGTAGTCATGCTAGTTTTATACTATTTCTTTGCAATTATTGGAATGGAATTGTTTGCAGGATATAATATGCGAAATTGTTGCAAGTAAGTATATGAGTAAAATATTTTTTTCTGAATATTACATAATGCATATTTATTAGGAATACAACAGTTGAAGATTTTTATAAGTACTCTGTCAATGAAAGTACCGCACTAGGATATTATTACCTTAATACTTTTGACAATCTTATAGCCAGTGGAATGACTCTTTTTGAGTTAACAGTTGTTAATAATTGGTTTATCTTAATGAACGCGTATGGATTTACAGTTGGAATGTATACACGAATATATTTTATGATATTTTATTTGGTGACAATGATTGTTTTAACTATTGTGGTATCCAGTTTCTTGGAGGCTTTTCGATTTAGGATACATTATAAAAAATCGACATCTAAACGTGATGGTAATTGAATTGTTATATTCTTGATTACGCAGTTATTTGTAAAATATTAAAGAAATATAGGCTTTTACATTTAAATTCTCAATCTTCTATTAATTTTTTTTTATATACATTTTATTACAGAAGAAAAAATGCTACACGAAGAAGTAGAACTAAAATGGGATGAATTGCAATATATAATAGAAGATTTTCAGCTTCTGGAGAAATTACGGCCTTCGCTAAAAGTTGGTGTAAGTTTTAAGTTTCAAAGAGTACGTTTTTCATTATCTTAATTATATGATATGATTGTAGGGAACTACTGTCTTTATTGGATCGCGTCCTCGAACCAGAGAAGTTTTGCAAAGAAAAATGTATACTAATGAAATTACCGAATGGATTACAGAGGCTAATCAAGCAGAAAGGCAGCTTTTATCAAACGCTACTCATAGTTTAGAAGAAAATTATAGAGAAGAAGCAACTTCCGAAACAGATCACATAGGATTAACTGAAAACTTGCGACAAACGCATCGTAACACATCAAATGTTGTATAATTGTAATGGTAAATCAAATTTCATTGTTCACGATATATTAGCACCAAAGGATTGTAATATATAAATAGATAACAGATAATGATATAAAAATTTTTACCAAAAGTATAAACATAAAAGAAAATAATATATTTAATTGACATGAAAGTGATTAAACTTTATTTTGGATTATGTTGCGATATATAGATCAAGTAATTCATAGTTTTTATAAAAATATTATGTAAAAAGTATTAAACCATATAACTTCCATAAATAAAGTTTTATTAGTAGTCAAATTAACTTTTTTTTATTTTTCTCAGAGACGAAAAGAACAATTTTATTTACAAAAATTTATAAATTTGTAAAATTTTAAATTTATTCTATCATGATTATTGAAAAAGAAAAATATAAGAAGGAATAGAATTAGAAATACTCTTGATAAATATAAATAAAGTATATTACATTGAAAATATCATTTGTATTAATATTTATTACAAAATTATTAATTAATTTGTACCCCAGGACCTCCCAAAGTTGTTAATTTGACAGTAAATCCATCTGCAATTAATTTTCGTGATATACTCGAAATAGTTTCTGGTTGCGTATCCGGCAATAAGAGAATATATGCATGTCCACCACCTCCAGCACCCGTAAGTTTCGCTGCCAAAGCATAATTTTGTGCTTCTGCACAAATTCTATCTAACGATGGATGAGAAACTTGACATGTGGCTAGCAGTCCTTGATTCATATTAATAAGAGTCTGCAATAATATATGATAAGTAGTAAGAGGATTTAAATACATTTATATGTATTGAAAGTAATAATCAACATTTTAGCATATCATTCGATCAAACATACTGTATTATTTTTTAAACTGATAGGCTAATCTTTTAACTCCACGAATGAAACATTACTCTGTAAAAAGCAATAAAATACTTACCATTAACTGCTTATATGCCTCAAAAAAATATTCATCATCAATGGAAACTGTTTTCAACTTTTCAATAATTTTAATTGCCTCTTTGGATATATTATCTATAGAATTCATAATCAGATCGATAATAACTGGATATCTATGCTTTAATTCTAATAATCTTTCAACTAAGGCTTTTGTGCTTCTATTCACTCTTGTATCTACCAATAAAATTTTCAGAGTGTGCACATTACTTATTGTCTTTACATAATCACCCTTTTTGAATTCTATTATCGATCCATATGTACAGACAGAATTGTCTATTCCAGATGGATTTCCGTGCATAATTCTCTCACAATTTAGAGCGTATTTTGAGATAGTATCTAAGGTAGAAAAATCTAATATTTCGTAAATACCCTTTTGCAAACGCGACCAATATAGAAAACACGTAGCAAGACAAACAGCAAAGGAACTAGAACTACCAAGTCCAGAACCAATTCCCAGTTCTGTATTTAATTGAACTTGAAATGGTTTTACTTCGATCTCTTCTTTCTGCGTAATGTAAATGAAAAGATAAAAAAATGCCTCTAGACTTAATTTTTGTTGTAAATTCGCATAACTAGTAATGGAAACAAATTCTTTTACTTTATTATAAAACATTTCATAATTTTCCACGAATTCTATATCACTGTTAGTAAGAAAAAAATGTTGTATTTGTTGCAAAGATACATTAATAAATGAATTTACTTTAGGAAAACATATCTTAATAATCTGTTCTGTTTCAGGTAGTTCAGTGAAATTCAGAACTGTACGTAAATCTATACTAGCTGCAACAGCTGTTTTTCCATATACCACAGCATGTTCTCCAAAAAGAATTATTTTTCCTGGGGCAGACACTTTAAATTGTATCATTTTTAATTTGTTGACTCTAGCTTATGGAGCTGTTAATAGAAATAAGATAATATCTTAGAAATGATATATTAGAAATGATATATCTTAGAAATGATATATTAAAATCAATTGTTATTAAATTAATTATTAAATACCTCTTTATCATTTCCTTCTTTTCTTTCCACTCTGCTGGTGTTAATGTCTTTTGTTTAAATGCATGAATTGTTTTAAGTTCTTCTTCCAGTAATGAATGTACTGATCTAAAATATTAATTTCATTAATTTAATTTTTAAATTTTTTAGGATTTCAAAAATGCAATACCTGTGTCGATGAATTAGAGGCTTTCCTTCAAAAGCATTGGAGACAACTATTACAGAAAATTTAATGCCGCAGCCATCAGATTCATCTACAACCTCCTGTAACATTCAAAAGCAGTATAAAAATTATTTAACATATATAGTAACAAAATACTCTACATACTTTTGATAATAATGACTTTTTTTGATTTTTTTTTTATATAAATTTATAATTAGTCATTTTATTTGTCAATGGATAAATTATATAAATTATATAAATCTTATTACCTGACTTTTTTTGATTTTTTTTTATATAAATTTATAATTAGTCATTTTATTTGTCAATGGATATTTAATAAATTATATAAATTATATAAATTTTATTACCTATAATAATACTTGATAGGATGATTTTAAAGTAGATCAATTCTTTTTTTTGTAACAACATACGTACATATTGTTACAAAATTGCTGACTACAAAGAGTTAAATTTGTATTCACAACATTTTCGTTCTACTAATTAAAAAAAATAATACTTAGCAATAGAGTAAAGTTCAAATTTGCATAGAATATTACATAATTTACTTAAAATAAAAACTAAACTTATCTAGTACTTATCGGGACAACTAGTTCATAAAAGAATGCAATTATCTAATACTTTGTAGCAAGATAATGATATATATAAATAACGTTTTTATCGCCAAAAATATTGAATAACCGTGAAGATTTTAAATATATGATTTCAATACAACGTTATTTTTTAAATATTATTTTAAATTGTTTAATTACAAAAAGAAAAAAATTTAATAAGGAATATGGTAATAATATAACATAAATTTGTTTTCCTGGTTTATTTCAATTTTATACTCTTTTTATGTACAAATTGTTTATAATTAAAGTATAAATAGAAAGCCACAAAATGTCCACAAGAATAGATGGAAATTAATAATGCAAAAAGATCCGGATATTTTTTTGGAGGTTTCATAAAACCACTAACAAAGGAAAATATTATTATTCCTAGAATTGAACAATAAAATAGAACTATTTTATAGAAAGATGAATTAAAAGTTAATGAAACAATATTATTCTTATAACGTATTAGATCTCTTTTCAATTTTATAAAAAGTGATTTATTTTTGCTATTTTTTAGCTTTTCTTTAATTTGTCTTTGATTAATTATAAGTGCATTCTTTTTAGAGTTAACATTATTCACTAATTTTATGTGATTAAACATATCAGGATATGTCCATAAAACAAAAAAGAAATAAAAAATTAATGTAGCCCAATATACCGTGTATAAACCATCTTTTATATATAAAGGTAGCATACTGAAGTGTGAAATTATTAAAAACCAAAAACAAGGAAATGGATCACTTTGAAAATACAATAAAACTGAAATTGCAACAAGCAAAATTGATTTTTCATGAACTTGAAATGAACATAGAAAAAATGCTAATGCACAATTAATAAGAGAAATAACAAACTTCTCTTTTTGTGGATTCAGATATAGATTTATGCAACTCGGTAAAACTGCAATTGTAGTTGTTACTAAACAAATCTGAATTAATCTCTCGTTTACAAAAGCATTACGTAATTTGTAAATCACATTGATTGCACACCAAATATTAGCTACTTTATCTTCAAATACACCTCTAGAAACTGGAAACAGTCTAAGAACAACACTTAGAAATGTTTCCCAACTTTTAACGAAAGGTAACCATATGATAAAAAATGTAGAAATTACTGTAACTGATATACAGAAGAGCATTAATAAATTAAATGACCAAAACCTTTCTTTCATAAATGAGTACTTTCCGAGTATATAAAAGAAAATTGGCAATGCATGATAAAGTTCCATCTGTTTATAGTTTAATGCTGCAACAAATAAGATTGATCCAGTAATAAATGAATTTTGGCACATAGCCGTAACAGCACTAACAAACAGCCCTAATGAAAAGGAATTATATTGGAAATGTCCATGGTCTATTAATATCAAACCTGGATAGATCAATATTGTCAAAAGATCAATATGTTTTCTTTTTAGACCACCAAATGCAGATAGCTCTTCTGTTTTAAAATTCCCAGATATTTGACTAGTTGATATAAAATATATTACTGATGGTATATAAATCAAAATATCTATATAAAAAACACTGAGTCTCATTAAATATTTATGACTTTTGGATGAGAAGCCTCTGGATTCGTGTAACTTGACATAAGAAGAATTAATCTTATTGGCAATGTAGCCAAGTACAAAACTATGATAAGCTGACAATGGTGGGTAGTCTAATCCCCAATATTGTAAATCGTTGTCTGTTGTATTTATGTACCATTTTTCAATCGGAATATTTAACGTTATTTCTTGCCAGTGCCGTTGCGCTTCATAGTCTCCAAACATTGGAGGCTTTTCTTCGCCACTGTAGGGATGATATGTAACACACCATCTCAAGAGGAGAGCAAATAACGAGATTAACACAATCTGTGTATTTTCTTGCATTGCGTGTATTGCAAACATGCTCTTGATTGACAAATACATTTCAGAAATAACGTCTAGCTACCTGGGTTCATCACGGAAAATTTGAGGTTAGAGTAAAAAATAGCAGAATGAAGTACGAAAATATATATTCAGATACACAATGAATCGTATAAAATACATACCACGTGTGAAGCGTTTAATCCTTCAATTAATTTCTTTTTTATGTGACTTTCAGTATACGACATGTTTAAAGTTAGATCTCTAATTTCAGTTCACCACGTTTTCAGATACATGAACACAAATTACTATATATTTGGTATTTAAAATTGACGTAATTATTTTTATAAACTTGCAATCGTACGTAGGAAACATATGATAAAATGTGACATTTCTTCCTCTTTTTTTGAAATGTAATTTTCGTGGTTTTAAATAATCGTTAGATTCAAATGAACATCAAAGTACAGCTTTTGAACTCATTTGCACAGTTTGATATGACGTTATCAATTGATTTTAGGTATTTCGATTAATCGACTGAGCTCAATATTTATAAAATTACTATCTTTATGAAGCATTTCTTTTACTATTTCTGGAATTATTTCGTAAATTAGGTGAAAATTAAGAGTTATTACCTGTAGAACGCTGATATTAACGGAACCACTCAGCATAAAAACCGAGATTAAAGTCTATGCTGTGTGCAGTTACATATGTGCATATATATTTTTTAAACTTCAAAGGCTGGACTTTGCATATAAACACGTGTTTATTTCTAAAAATATCATTTAATTTTTTCAATAAAAGATACAGATCAGGAAATAACACGTATGTATCTTTTTAGATATCAGTTTATTCGTCCAAGTACAACAGATGTTACAAGAATAAAACTGACTATCTGTTACATTATCTTTTTTCCTTTTCTACTATCCATATAAATAAATTTTAAATAAAAATTACGAACAAAAGCCGTATAAAACATACATAGTTTTACAAATTTATTGTAACAGATTTTTTTTTTCACGCACTTTATTTCCATTATCTCGCTATTAACTAATCGACGTTAATTTTCGATGTAAAAATATAATCCCTCTGTTTCAATACAGTTAAATATTATTAAATATCAACTGTATTTATAAAATTTTATTTTCTAAACAAATGCAACAATAAAAATCTTTACTTGTACAGTAACGATTAGATAGCAAAGAAAATTCATTGTTCTTTTCAAGTCATATTAGATACATGGCACGTTAATATTGTCTAATACCTGGTCTCAGGTACTGTAATGATTGCTGTGATTGTTATAACAGTAATAAATTATGTATAACAATTGTATTTTATTAGTGTATTACTTTTTCTATGAACCTTATTATATAACATTAGGTAGAATGTTGACCCTTGTTTAAAATATATTTAGCTAATAAAATCAATATTATGTATTTTTATATAGACAATTAACAACATTAATGTAACATTTTTAATATTAGATGTGTATTAATAGGATAGATTTAATATATGCTGATAATATTGTAAAAACTGAGCAATTTTTAAAGTAATCTTAGATAAAAAATTTAGTTCATTTCAAAATGAATATATTATTATGGAAATAAATTTCACTTTACTACGTATCGAAAATATATAAATTAATAAATTATAATGTAAATTAACAAAAGATTACAATTTGTAAAATGTAATATTAAAATATGAAAAGGAAATTTGGAATGAGCATATTATGATCAATTATGATTGCAATGCAATAATTACAATCACAATTAACATCAATTTACAATATAATCATTAATATATAGTATTTATTTTATAGCCAATTTTAACTGATTATTTTAATATTTCTTTCACAGAAAGAATCACTTTTAACTTATAATTATTTTCAAATATTGATAAATATTTATATTTATAATGAAAATTTTAATTATCTTAATAGTTGTATTATGAGAATGTATCACATATATGTAATTTAATAAAAATATTAAGAAAAATAAGTTTTGCCTGATAGTATCCTAATGTTACTTCGTTTTGCTGAATGTCTCTTAAGATTTTAAGAAAGCTTCTGCATTGATGCACATATGTATATTAAATATATATATATATATATATATATATAGCACAATGATGTGCAATTAGAATGTAATAGATAATCGAGCAAAATAAGTACATACTTGCTTCTTCAAACTGTAAAATATACATTCTTCATTGTATACATATATTTGATAAATATTATAATAATTTAGTTATTAATTTTTGTATATACTTGTCATTCTGTCATTCTATATCTATCTTTAGCATACATAACACAATACAAATTTGAATTTGTATGATTTTTCAAGCATGATACCATGAACAATGAGTAAAGTTTGGAAGAGGCCTGATAATATTAGAATACAGTACTACTTTTTTGTATATGAAGAATTACTTTAGGAATTTTTTCATTTGTTTTGTTTGGTATTGCATACTATACTGAGCATTTTCTGCTTTAGTAATGAGAGAGTCTAATTTATCCAAATGAGATCCCATTTTTTCATTAAGATCAATTGTTTTTGGCATTGCTGTGTTAGTTTCTATGTTTTCCGTGTGTTTTTGGTCAGTAAACTCTACCGTTAAGTTCTCTTCGTTCATAGATGTTTCAGGATCAATATCCTTTGTCTCATTGTGGTTTCGTTCAGTGAGTTTATGATCTGGTGTATTATTTTTGGATCCCACTTTTACTTTCAATAGGGTACCCAAACTGCCACAGACAGTCTGTAAAATACTTTCATGTTATAAAGTACTAGTTCAGAATGTACTGAGGAATACTTGTACTTGACAAAGATCGTTTAATTTGTTAAAAATAAAATCATTGGAATATCAGGCAAAGTCAGCGTTTAACCTTGAATCTATTAATTTTCTTTTGCGTAGCACTAAGAATACTATTTAATTCATCCAATCCACCACCTATTCGTTGCGCAGTTTCGTCAGAAGAATCCAAATTCTAGAAGTTAAATTACTTGATAAAATTACAAAATTAATCTGATTTGAAATTTTGCATAAGAATTTCGTCTAATCAACGACATTATAAATAAAAAAACTTGTTAACTTACATATACTTACAATGTTACAATGTTTAATTCATTATGGGTGTATTTACTTGCAAATGCATAAAAATGTACAAATGCACTAAGTTGAGTTTTGT